AATACAATATATTTAAAAAGAAAGAAAGAAAGAAAGAAAGAAAGAAAGAAAGAAAGAAAGAAAGAAAGAAAGAAAGAAAAAGAAAGAAAGGTCCCCTGCCCTCATGAAGCTGATATCCTCTGAGTGCAGGAGCAGATAGTAAATGAGCACAATGACGAATGAGGAGATGACAGAGGGTATGAAGAGAACAAATGGGGGCGGGGGTGGGAAGGGCAAGGGGCAGGGAGAGGCTCTTTGGAAGGGGCTGTCACCTCTAAGGTGGTGACATGAAAAGTCCCCCCTGAGGATGGTGAGCCAGCCATGCCAAGAGCCAGAGGAAAGTGTCCCAGGCAGAGTGAACATCTGTGCAAAGGCCATGTGTTAGGAAAGAGTGCGGCAAGGTCAGGGATGAGGTGGAGGATGAGGCAGGGCCCAGGGCGCACAGGCTTGTGGGCCACGGCCGGGCATGGGGAAGAGGCAGGAGGGCTGGTTGCTTTCCGAGGATGAGGTTAGGGGTCTCTGAGGTCCAGCAGACCCAGCTCTCCTTCCAGCAGTTCTGTACTGTCCACACCCCCATAACTAAACTTTGACCGCTCACTTAGTCCAAATCCTCCTTCTACAGCTGAGGACACTGAGGGACAGAGAAGGGACATGCCAGGGCCACCCAATGGGCTGGTGGCAGAGCAGGCCTGGAAGCCGGTTTGCCCGCCAACCTGATGGATAGATGCCCTTTGTCCTTTCTTACTGCCCTCTTCCCCTTGGCGGGCCTCCACAGTCAGACACGCAATGGCTCCACACCGCTGCACCTGGCAGCCCGGGAGGGCCTGCTGAGCTGTGTCAAGCTCCTGGTGGAGAATGGCGCCAATGTCCATGCCCGAGATGCCATAGGCTGCAAGCCCATCGACTATTGCAAAATATGGAACCACCGCGTCTGTGCTCGGTGAGTGTGTGAGAGCCACCTCCAGCCCTGCCTCTGGGCCCTCCCCCACGGCAGAGCCTTTAGGAGGGGGTCTGGGAAGCCAGTGGCTGGGGGATAAGTCTTCCCAGGATATTATTCCCAGGGGCTTTCCACAGGCCTCACCCCTGTGGTTTAGCACTGCCTTCCTGCCCCCGGCTCCTCATCAGGAGGGCAGTGATCAGTCCCTCAGACACTTGCCCCTCACCTCACAGGAAGTAGTTAGCCAGAGGGGCCTTGGACAGTGGGGGTGCATCATGTTGCTCATCTCGACTCTGGCAACCCCTCCCATGCCCACCCCGGCCCTCACAGCAGCCAGTCTTCCAGGTTGAAGCCCAGTCACTGAGGATGACACATCCTCACCTGGGCGCCAGGTTCTTGAAGGATGCCATGTGGAAACGGGACAAGAAGGACTTTGCCTGTGAGATGGGGAAGCTGAAGGGGCTCAAAGGCCAGCTGGCCCTCATGGAGCGGTACTACCAGACTGAGTGCCAGGTAAGGCACCGGGCGTCAGCTGCTACCGAGGCATGTGAGCAGAGGCATGAATCGCATGTGCCCTTAGTGACGAGAAGCCGTCCGATTCAGAGAGCCTCCTTCTCCCCCTCCTCTGACTAAAATTCTACCCTGAGAAGCCACTTCTTTAGGTCAAAAGCCTGTCTTGTGTAGAAAGCTAAAGCAGCTTAAATTAGCAAGTATTTATGAAGCCCCCTCCCCCACTAGCCCAGTGCCTCCCTCTGGGGAGGAGGAGAATCTCTAATGAGACCCAGGTCCTGCCTCACTGGGAAGTACACTGGTTAAAAGACCCATCTTGCCCTGACTGGTTCCTCGGTGGTTAGAGCATTGGCCTGCAGACCCAGGGTCTTGGTTCGCTTCCCGGTCAAGGGCATGTACCTCGGTTGCAGGTTCCCCAGACCCAGTAGGGGCCCATGTGGGAGGCAATCAATAGATGTCTCTCTCTTGCATTGATGTTTCTCTCCCCCCTCCTCCACTTCTACTCTCTAAAAATCAATGGAAAAAATATCCTGGGGTGAAGGTTAATAAAAAAAAAATCTTCCAACATACTCTCTGCTAGGCACCTGTTAGACCCTGAGGCTCCAAAGACCAATGAAAGGTGGTCCTCTCACTCAAGGAGCTTAGAGCTTAGTAGAGGAGGTGGGTTATATTCCCACAGAGGAGAAGGGGGCTCAGGAGGTGCCAGAAGGATAATACTTAAGAGGAGTCTTTAACGATGGTAGCAGTTGGCCATATGAGGAAGTAGGGAAGGGCTGACCAGGCTGAAGGAACAGACAGCTCTGTGTTGGGGGCGGGGGGGGGCGGCACAGAGGCACATAGAAGTGTGTATGCCAACAAGTGCAAATTCAGTACAGTCAGGGGTTCCGATGTGACAAGCTAGAGATTTGGCAGGGGCCCAGGTCAATGACAGGCCTTGGCTGGGGAAGCAGAGTCACTAAAGGATTTTAAGCAGGTTAATTACGTAGGATGCAAGAGCCAGAAAACCTAGAAAAGATGCTGGGAATCCTAAGTGGATCCAGAAGCGGGGAGGGCTTGGGAGCTGGCAAATGGAGGGCTCCAGCTCTGCTCCGGCCGCACTTCTCTCATTTTCTCAGCCCTACCTGCTCTCAGTCCTCACAGTCACCTGTGTCCAGAATAGGCAAAGCCCATCGGTTCCTGTGGCTCTAAACTTTCCCATAAGGCCCTTGCAGATCTCCCCTCATCTCTTATTGGCCTCAGCGGGATCATATGTCCACTCTTGTTCCAATCCCTCAAGCTAAAGGAAAGCCATGTGCTGACTGACCTAGGTCTGGGGCAAGGCTGATGGAATTATTCTGAGAGGCTTAGCCTAATCAGAGCCTACCTCCAGAGCTGGGTCAATCTCCAAACCGCCTGACAGCAACAGCCTGGGAAGTGAGCCATGAGACAGGGGGTGGGGAAGGGACAGATCTGTGATGAGCCGAAGGTTCAATTGTAGTGGAAGCAAGAACAGACAGCTAGACCAAGTGACTCCCACCCAGCCTGGAGAGCCAGCTAACTGTGCCCCCTACATGACTGCTCCAGGCCAGCTAACCCCCTCCCAGAAGCCTGCCCAGACTCACGCCACCAGCTCCAGGCCTCCCAAACCTTTCTGCTTTCTCCATCCAGGGCCAAGGATGCAGCCTGCACTTCTCATAGGCCTTTCCCTCCCATCAAACCAGAGACTCTCAGGGCAGGATATGTCTTCACTACCAATATGGGATCCTCCCTCGAGACTCAAGGTTTTCTGTAGGGCAGAGACCGCATCTTCCCCCTCCAGCTGAAGACCTTACCTAGGGTGGAGGATGGGTCTCCATCAGATTGGAGCCCCTCAGCCCAGGGGCTCCCTTCGGGCAATACTTGTCTCCCCATCAGAACAAGGGCTCCCATAAGGCAGGAGATTCTCCCATCAGACTCAGGGCTCCCGAGGTTAGGACGTTGTCTGACCAATCACACCTGAGGTTTCCAAGGTCTATAGCCACAGGGTCCCCTTCCACAGAAGCACAGAGGGAGCAGCCCTCCTCCACTATCTTGTGCCCTCTGACATTGCAGGAAGAACAAGAACTTCTGAGACAAGCTGATTTCAAGAAGTGGCTCCATCACAAGCCACTGCCTCGAGGCCGGTCTCTGATCCACAGCATTGAGCAAGAGCCCCAAGCCCCTCCCTGGGCCATCCCCATCTCCAAGACCCCCAAGCTGTCCAAGCACTTCCACCCCTCCCCAGAAGAGCACCTGCAACAGACACCACAGCGCAAGCTGCAGCCCTCGGTGACATCCATACCCCACTACATGCATCCCACAGTTAGGCAGCCCAAGCCGTGGAATATTAGCAACAACCCTGCCAGATCCCCCACCGCCCAGATCGGCTCCCCACAGGGCATCCGCCTGGGTGTGCATCCAGACCCCAGCCTGGAGCACGACTTCCGCGGATTCCTCAAGATCAGGTCTGATGGGCAAGGTGGTGCGCACTTGCGCACTGTGACTGGCAAGGAGGTGGCCCCTGTGCCTCGGCTGCCTTTGGAGGTGATAGTCCGTGAGCTGTACCCTCATGTGCGGCCGTGCAGGATGAAGGTGCCCCAGGGCTTCCACTCTGTCAGCATAAAGGACGTGGACCGGAAGCGGTACTTGGGCGACAACACCTTCTGGACCGACACTCTGGCCATGAACTTACGTGAAACATTTGACGAAGCCTTCCTGGCAACAGTGCAAGCCCATCA